CATCTGTACTAGTTGATTATACAGCTGTTATATATGATCATACATCTGCACTAGTTGATTATACATCTGTTATATTTGATTATACATCTGCACTACTTGATTATGCAGCTGGTATATTTGATTATACATCTGCACTAGTTGATTATACAGCTGGTATATTTGATTATACACCTGCACTAGTTGATTATACAGCTGTTATATTTGATTATACACCTGCACTAGTTGATTATACATCTGTTATATTTGATTATACATCTGCACTAGTTGATTATACAGCTGGTATATTTGATTATACATCTGCACTAGTTGATTATACAGCTGGTATATTTGATTATACACCTGCACTAGTTGATTATACATCTGTTATATTTGATTCATCTGCACTAGTTGATTATACAGCTGGTATATTTGATTATACATCTGCACTAGTTGATTATACAGCTGGTATATTTGATTATACATCTGCACTACATCTGTAATCATACATACATCTGTATGATTTCATACATCTGTATGAACATACATCCATAAAATTTGTGTAGATAGCTGTACGACGTAATTATACAGCTGTATATGTTTATACATCTGAACTACTCGATTATACATTTGAATTTGTGTACAATTCCAGGGGTCATATATATAGAGCACCTCCAGGGGTCATATATATAGAGCATCTCCAGGGGTCATATATATAGAGCACCTCCAGGGGTCATATATATAGAGCATCTCCAGGGGTCATATATATAGAGCACCTCCAGGGGTCATATATATAGAGCACCTCCAGGGGTCATATATATAGAGCACCTCCAGGGGTCATATATATAGAGCACCTCCAGGGGTCATATATATAGAGCACCTCCAGGGGTCATATATATACTGAGAAGCAAATTTTTTAACCGAATTTTCACTTTCACGCACAAGCGTTTAATAATTCAATAATTTTACGCGTTAATTATTAAACTTTTTAAAATTTTTACCAACGAAAAATGTCAATTTTCACGAATTTTTCTCTTTTTGTGCGAAATTTTTTATCAATATAAAAAATTGTCGAAAAATTCTGCGCGATTTTCGTTTAATTAATAAAATATTCAGACCAATTCCTCGAGCTGTGAGGCCACAGGCGGGCAGGTGGGGCCACAGGCGGGCAGGTGGGGCCACAGGCGGGCAGGTGGGGCCCCAGGCGGGCAGGTGGGGCCACAGGCGGGCAAGGAAGGGAATGAGGTAAAGGTTGTTTAGTTAGTTCAATAGTTAAGTTTTAATTAATATATAGTGTAGGTATATATCGACAATAATTTAAGTTAGGCTTAGATACGTGAGTAAAACAGAGACAAATTAAAGGTTATTAATTGGATACGACATCGTTCTATAAATAAATATCCAATAAATTTAGGAAAATCAATAGAAGCTGCCTGAAATTCTGAAAGGAAATTTTGTTTTATCGAAAATTTTATAGAACGATGACATATCCAATTAAAACTATTAATTCGCTCTGTTACGTATAAAAAACATTTAAATTTTTTATACGTAACAGAGCAAATTAAAGTGTGCTCTATTAACTATAAAAAATTTTAAATGTTAAAAAACTGACGTGGTAAGAAGACGTTCAATAGAGAACACAGCCAATATGATAATAGAGGGATGATGAAGGAGGATAACGCTACATTCGAGAAGGTTATCCGCAAGAAGGTTAGTGTAAGAATGTTTGACGCACTACTTGTCGGAATAGTACCTGTTGTAAGGCCTAGCCAGTCAAGCTAGAGCGCTTTATCTCTGGTGTCCCTGCGAGGCTGACTGAGCTATTATAGGCTGCAGTACGCTAGTCTCAGGTACGAGTGAACATGGATTAGTGCTCTTCAATGTCTATGAATTATTGTATTTTGGGTTATTGAATTATCTTTCTGTATTGTTCATTTTGACGTGTATTTATTTATCATTTATTTGTCTCGTATGGACAGAGCGAAGTCCCTCTCCTCTCTGTAGTCTCTCTGTAGTTCAAAAATCTAATGATGATCGCTATTCTATACTGTTGGGATTCTTGAATAAAGATAAAAACTTTTTATCTATCAACTGAACCCGACATAATCACAAAAAGTTTAGTAGCATCTGCGATGGGTTTCCGTGGGGGCTTTGGCAATATTTTCTCTACGTGTCTGGCGCGGTAAGGAATGGGTTACTTCTTCAGGCCTAATGTGATAGAAAATGTCAAGAGTCTCTATAAATTTGATCGTTTTTACAATTATAATGCATTTTACTCATACTGACAGTTCGCAAAGGAAACTGCGTCTGAACCGCCCTTTGCTGAAATAGTGTCGTCTTTCAAAGCAGTTCAAGCGCTTGATTGATTCTTTCACCGCTACAAATTAAATACGAATCAACCTCTTAACACGCGAACTACCCTACAAAAGTTACTTATTTGATTGGAAATAAGTCACGTTTGGAAATCTTCTTGTCAACAGCATCGATGTAGATGATGTCATTGGTTCCCGGTGCCGGTAGGTATCAGGACCATGTGTAGGTACCAGGACCATGCCCAGGAGCCAATAGTACCGTGTAGGTACCATTGGTTCCAGGTACCTGGTTGGAATTGTTGGTACACGTCCAAACGACCTATCGGTCTTGTCATGCGCGGGGAGTGTACGGTAATTTTCCTGCATTTCACTTTATATTAGAGAGTCCAACATATGTCATGGGTTCACAAGGAAATTAAAGGCAAAGAAATCGCCAAGCAAATTTACCATATCGATTGAAAACGTTTTGGTAATTTTTCCCGGTTAATCTTTGTAATACAAGATACATCATGGGTTAGCCCCAGGCCAGGCTGAACGTAGCAGCCCCAGGCTGGACGTAGCAGCCCCAGGCCACACTGGACGTAGCAGTCCCAGGCCACGCTGGACGTAGCAGTCCCACGCTGGACGTAGCAGTCCCCGGCTGGACGTAGCAGTCCCAGGCCACGCTGGACGTAGCAGTCCCAGGCCACGCTGGACGTAGCAGTCCCAGGCCACGCGCCACGCTGGACGTAGCAGTCCCAGGCCACGCTGGACGTAGCAGCCCCAGGCTGGACGTAGCAGCCCCAGGCTGGACGTAGCAGCCCCAGGCTGGACGTAGCAGCCCCAGGCTGGACGTAGCAGCCCCAGGCTGGACGTAGCAGTCCCAGCCCCAGGCTGGACGTAGCAGTCCCAGGCTGGACCTGTCTCTTATACACATCTAGATGTGTATAAGAGACATGCCTGGGACTGCTACGTCCAGCGTGGCCTGGGACTGCTACGTCCAGCGTGGCCTGGGACTGCTACGTCCAGCGTGGCCTGGGACTGCTACGTCCAGCCGGGGACCTGTCTCTTATACACATCTAGATGTGTATAAGAGACAGACGTAGCAGTCCCAGGCCACGCTGGACGTAGCAGTCCCAGGCCTGTCTCTTATACACATCTAGATGTGTATAAGAGACAGGTCCCAGGCCAGGCTGGACGTAGCAGTCCCAGGCCACGCTGGACGTAGCAGTCCCAGGCTGGACGTAGCAGTCCCAGGCCACGCTGGACGTAGCAGTCCCAGGCCACGCTGGACGTAGCAGTCCCAGGCCACGCTGGACGTTGTTGTTATTTGTTGCGACCATCACGCTCGCCGGGGGGAGGCTCTGGTGGTGGGCGGGGGGCCGGCACCGGAAGAGGGGGGAGATGGGCGAAGGCAGGGAGGGTGGCCAGGAAAAAAAAAATTAACAATATGATCCAATCGTTTTTTTAGATAAATGATTTAGATAAAAAAATGATTATTTTAGATAATTTTTTTCTAATAGTTTCAATTTAGATCTAAATAACAAATAATAATGAACGTTTCCATTAGAACATTCGTTAACAAAAGATAACAATTGTCTGCTACATAGAACATAAATACGAAAATAAATTCACAATAAAAAATTTTTTGACCTACATTAACTACATTATATGAATAAATAAACTATATTATATGAATAAATATCTAGATAAATATCCCCGAGAAAAATAAATTATTATTTTTTCAAGTTATCAGTAAACAACACTGAGATAAATTCATGAGTAAAAAAACAAAAAAAATTCACAATAAAAATATAAAAAAATGTATTTCGACCTTAAAGGTCACAAAATGGGTCAAAATTTGGACAAGTTGACCAATGAATTTAATGAGTATAATTCTCATGCTCAAAAAAAACGAAATTTGATACAAAATTTCGAAATTAATTAAAATTTATAATAAATATATATTATTTATAATAATAAAATAAATACAAAAATTACACAGCGACTGTCAGCCTAATTCTGAATTATCTAATTAGCTTCTGATTAAGAAAAGAGTTAAGCAGTTGAGGCTCATTAAAGATACCAGGTTAATTTATATTTAATATACAAAGGAGATTCAAATAAACATCTTAAATTAATACAAATGTGTAGTTATACAAACGAAATTCAACAAATAAAAATCTTAGATTAACTTAATACAAATGTGTAATTTGTGTGAGATTCTTCGTATAATTGAACACACGAGATTTCCTTGTATGTAAAAGATCTTTTGGCTGTATTTCCTGTATTGTGTATAGAATAAACATACAATATATTAAAATTATATTAATAATATACAATAAGATTAATAATATAAGCTGTTCTGTATATTATATATATTTTTTCTCAACAGAGACTCAGCCACACATAATATAACTACACAATCAATACAGTTAAGTTACACAGAGATTCTGAGTTTGTTTACATTATGAACCAAATTAGGACATTAATAACCGAAAGTTAACTAATACTCTCAGAGAAATTTGTGAGACAAAAAAAGTTGAAACACTTGCTGCACGTAGCACTGATACGCCCTTGGTATTTTATTTCTATTACCTTATTTTTATTACATAATTTATATTATTATTTTTGCCCTTGGTATTTTATTTTTATCATAATATTATCATATTTTTATTACATATTTTATATTATTATTTTTTTATTACTATTTGGACAAAGCCTTACTGATTTCTCTCAGCGTCATTAATTATCAATATCAAATTAATTATGATCGTTAATCATCGTATGATTAACTATTATTCATCGTCAAGTACTATCTTGGGGCATAAACTATTAATCATCGTCATTGTAACGTTTCTTCTTGGCCCCAAGTTGACTATTTTCAACATAATCATCATCAACATCAATGGGCGTTCCTTCATCATCATTGCCATCAAAATTTATCTTATGGTCCTCGGCGTCGACGAATTCCTCGCCATCAGCATCGATGTAGATGATGTCATTGGCTCCTGGCACGTGATTGGCTGCCTGGTACACGTCCGCTCTTCCTATTGGCCGAGACGCGGACGTATCGTGCGCTGGGATTGGCTGGTAATTTTCGCGGTTTCCTATTGGCTGAGTATCAGCATCTCCCATTGGCTGGGACCCCACCCGCCTTATGTCCGCCCTTCCTATTGGCCGAGCCGCGGATGTATCGTGCGCTGGGATTGGCTGGTAACTCTCGCGGTTTCCTATTGGCTGAGCATCGGCATCTCTCATTGGCTGGGACCCCACCCGCCTTGTGTCCGCGCTCCTGATTGGCCGAGCCGCGGGTGGGGAACCACCAAGGTCAGCCAATGGCGTACTATCGCTGACGTGTCGCGCTGTGATTGGCTGGCGGGCGTAAGGCTGCGGGCCAATCAGGGACAGCAACACAGGCAGGAACACCAGCCCGTGGAAGAGGCCGTAGAGGCACACGCCGAAGAACACCTAGCGGTACAATGGCATTAAACTATCGAACTAAATACAATATTATAATATTGTATCGTACAATAATACAATAGCATTCAAATATGGGACTCAATACAATATTGCACAATAAGTCCCAGCAAGGAGGTGCTGACCTTAAAGAAGGTCCTGAAGACATGGGAGTCAGAGTTGGCCAGGAAGATGAAGGCCAGGAAGGTGCTGAAGCCGCCATTTAAAACCGCGGGGCCGATGCGGGCGAGCGTCTCCCGCACGCGGGCGTCACGGGTGCCATGGCAGGTCATGAACACGTGACCTGCGGGAGGTGATCATGAGTCATGACCTGCGGGAGGTGATCATGAGTCATGACCTGCGGGAGGTGATCATGAGTCATGACCTGCAGGAGGTGATCATGAGTCATAGACACGTGACCTGCGGGAGGTGATCATGAGTCATAGACACGTGACCTGCGGGAGGTTATCATGAGTCATAGACACGTGACCTGCGGGAGGTTATCATGAGTCATGACCTGCGGGAGGTGATCATGGGTCATGACCTGCAGGAGGTGATCATGAGTCGAGAACATGTACTAAATAATAATAATAATAATAGCGGTTTCAGCGTCTATTAGGCCATAGGCCTGTCGCCGGTACTTAACATCGTAGAACATTCACAGCTTGTTGCGGTCTCGAACTCGCAACTCACTGCTACAATTCTGCTGTGCTTAACCGCCCGGCCTCCTTGCCGATTCTGACCAGAAACTGGCGCACAGAGCTGGGATCGAACCCGCGCCTCTCTGCGCCAATCTTGGTACTCTGAACTGTCACCACTCAATTAATTAAGAAGAATCATGAACATGTATTAGTTCTTGACTGAAATAAACAGTCAATGATTTTTAAACATGTTAAATTAGAATAAAAGGCAACACGATGTTTCTTTTCACGTGCCGACAGGCCACTGGAACGCCGGTAATACCGTTAACGGTAATTTTTCTAACAGTGTAGACCGCTGCTGGTAACTGTGCAGGATACAGCTCAGGCCCTATACTTTCAGAAAAGTTAAGAGATCGTAAGTTCATCAGCCAATCATTGACGGCCTTTCAAGCAAAATCCACCAATCATAGACAAGAAAATAGATCGTAAGTACTTACGATTACTTAACGAGTTATGAAAGTATGGCCCCAGGTCGGACATGTGCTTAAGGCTGCGAGAAAACTAAGTGAATTCCCAGAGTTTAAATCAGTCTTTGTTAAGAAGGATGCTACCCCTTAAGAGAGAGAAAATTCGCAAAAAAAACGGCCACGCAGCAGTAGGCCTCGCAACGTACCCTAGCAGGCCACGTAGGCCACGTACCCTAGCAGGTCTCGTACGCCACACAACGTACCCTAGCAGGCCTCGTAGGCCACACAACGTACCCTAGCAGGCCACGTAGGCCACGCAACGTACCCTAGCAGGCCTCGTAGGCCACGTACCCTAGCAGGCCTCGTAGGCCACGCAACGTACCCTAGCAGCCCTCGTAGGCCACGTAACGTACCCTAGCAGGCCACGTAGGCCACGTACCCTAGCAGGCCTCGTAGGCCACACAACGTACCCTAGCAGGCCTCATAGGCCACGTACCCTAGCAGGCCTTGTAGGCCACGTACCCTAGCAGGCCTCGTAGGCCAAGTACCCTAGCAGGCCTCGTAGGCAACGCAACGTACCCTAGCAGGCCTCGTAGGCCACACAACGTACCCTAGCAGGCCTCGTAGGCCACGCAACGTACCCTAGCAGGCCTCGTATGCCACACAACGTACCCTAGCAGGCCTCGTAGGCCACACAACGTACCCTAGCAGGCCTCGTAGGCCACGCAACGTACCCTAGCAGGCCTCTGAGGCCACACAACGTACCCACATGCGCCGCGTAGTCCACGCAGAGGCCAATAGCGAGGACCATGTCGATGCAGGAGACCGTGTCTATTGTGAGGCCCCACCAGTGCATGAGGCCAAACACGTCCACGAGGGTCATGACCACGCACAGCAGCACCAGCAGGCTCTGAGGGTAATAAGAAGGTTATTACTCCTTACCCTCACTTTCATATGTTCGCGGAAGTGAAAGTATGGCCCCTGTATCGCGACCTTAGTAGTGGGCGGAAGCGAAGCTTATATAATGGATAGCAACCTTAAATAAACCCATATAAGGAGGGTCATGACCACGCACAGCAGCACCAGCAGGCTCTGCGAGGGTAATAAGGTCATCATTACCCCTTACCCTCACTTTCATACGTTCGCGGAAGCGAAAGTATGGCCCCTGTATCGCGACCTTAGTAGTGGGCGGAAGCGAAGGCTATATAAGGTCTAGCAACCTTAAGTAAACCCCCCCCCAGCAGGCTCTGCGGGGGTTATAAGGAGGTCATGACCACGCACAGCAGCACCAGCAGGCTCTGCGGGGGTTATAAGGAGGTCATGACCACGCACAGCAGCACCAGCAGGCTCTGCGGGGGTTATAAGGAGGTCATGACCACGGACAAGTACTATACGTGTAGTAAGTGTGTCACTATTTAGACAATACGCCCCACAATTTTTTTGCGTATAGACTATTAACCTGTAGCAGCGATGAGCGCGCCAGGGGTCATCTTTTTAAATTACATATACTACATGTAGGTACATGTACTACAAGTTAGTACATGTACTAGTACTTTAAATATACTACATGTATCACTATATAGGTATACAATATTGTAACCTGTAGCACCGATGCTATGGGTTATGGGAAATCCAACTACAAGAGCCAGCGCCATGTTACATCTAGTTAACTATCCTACCTTTAGGTACATGTACCAGTACTACGTTACATGTACTACATGTAGGAAGTGTTTCATTATAAGGACAACATATTTGTACACCATATTAACCCGCATAAGCGACGCTATGAGGGCCAGCGCCATGCTATACATCTAGTTAATTATACTACCTTTACGTAGATATTCTATTACTACGGCATATATAGACTCTTAACCTATATTATGTATAGACTATTAACCTGTATAAGTGAAGCTATAAGCGCCAGTGTCATCATAAACACGACCACGAGAGCCAGGCCAATGTTCTGGTAGAGCTCCTGCTACATGTACTAATACATTACAAGTACGGTACTACATGTGGGTACTACATTTGTAAGTATTAATACACCATTTTAACCTGTATAAATACATCTATACACCTGTATATTAACCTGTATAAGCGAAGCTATAAGCGCCAGTGTCATCATAAACACGACCAGAAGCGCCAGCGCCCTGTTCTGGTACATGTATGATGTAATACGTGTAGGTATATCTACTACTACGGCACTACATGTACTAGTACGTTAAATATACTACATGTAGCACTAAATATACACCATATTAACCTGTATAAGTGAAGCTATAAGCGCCAGTGTCATAAACCTTAAGCGCCAGTGTCATAAACCTATAAGCTATAGGCGCCAGTGTCATAAACACGACAAGGAGAGCCAGGCCCATGTTCTGGTAGAGCTCCTGCTACATGTACTAATACATTACAAGTACGGTACTACATGTACAACATTTGTAAGTATTAATACACCATTTTATCCTGTATAAACAACATATTAACCTGTATAAGTGACGCTATAAGCGCCAGTGTCATCAGAAACACGACTACTAAAGCCAGGCCCATGTTCTGGTAGAGCTCCTGCTACATGTACTACTACGTTACATGTACTACGTGTGTACTACGTTACATGTACTACATGTAGGAAGTGTGTAGGTGTATATACAATATATATACATCATATTAACCTGTATAAGTGAAGCTATAAGCGCCAGTGTCATCATAAAGACCACTACTAAAGCCAGGCCCATGTTCTGGTAGAGCTCCTGCTCGATGACCTCGTCCGTCTCCCAGCCGCTGTGCATACGGGAGAAGGGGGCGACAACGCCCCCCAGTCCCCCCAGTCCACTGGCCTGTGCAGCAGTCTTCAGAGAGTGCATAGCAGCACGTTCTTCATACGTCGTGTGAAGTATACGGTACCTGCACGTGGATAAATGAATGGATTAATGTCCAAAATCCAGCGAGAAGGGGGCGACAACGCCCCCCAGTCCCCCCAGTCCACTGGCCTGTGCAGCAGTCTTCAGGGAGTGCATAGCAGCACGCTCTTCATACGTCGTGTGAAGTATACGGTACCTGAAGGTAGATAAATAACTGGATTAATGTCCTAATACGGTGAGAAGGGGGCGACAACGCCCCCCAGTCCCCCCAGTCCACTGTCTTGAGCAGCAGTCTTCAATGAGTGCATAGCAGCACGTTCTTCATACGTCGTGTGAAGTATACGGTACCTGAAGGTAGATAAATAACTGGATTAATGTCCAAATACGGGGAGAAGGGGGCGATAACGCCCCCCAGTCCCCCCAGTCCACTGGCCTGTGCAGCAGTCTTCAGGGAGTGCATAGCAGCACGTTCTTCATACGTCGTGTGAAGTATACGGTACCTGTCGATAAATAAATGGGTTAATGTATAAAATACGGCGAGAAGGGGGCGATAACGCCCCCCAGTCCACTGTCCTGAGCAGCAGTCTTCAGAGAGTGCATAGCAGCACGTTCCTCATACGTCGTGTGAAGTATACGGTACCTGCAGGCAGATAAATAACTGGGTTAAAGTCCAAATACGGTGAGAAGGGGGCGACAACGCCCCCCAGTCCCCCCAGTCCACTGTCTTGAGCAGCAGTCTTCAGAGAGTGCATAGCAGCACGTTCCTCATACGTCGTGTGAAGTATACGGTACCTGCACACGTATAAATGACTGGGTTATTGTCCAAATACGGTGAGAAGGGGGCGACAACGCCCCCCAGTCTCCCCAGTCCCCTCAGTCCACTACATAAATGACTGGGTTATTGTCCTAATACGGTACCTGCACCTGTATAAATGACTGGGTTATTGTCTAAATATACGGTACCTGCACGCGTATAAATGACTGGGTTATTGTCCTAATACGGTACCTGCACGCGTATAAATGACTGGGTTATTGTCCTAATATTCAGTGTCAGGACAGGGTGGAATTCTAGAAATTCAGTTTAATATAAAATTGATATAAGATATAAAATTTTATATAGATATAATGTTATACATATATAACCTGAATTATATAATACCTATATGGTAATTATATAAATATAAAATTGTATTATACAAAAAATTATATACATATTATACAAACTATAAACTAAGTTATATAGGTTATATATAAGCGGAATTATATAATATATATCATATAAATATAAAAATAATTAATTTTATACAAAATATATATTATACAAACTATAACCTGAATTATAAAGGCTATATACATATAACCTGAATTAAATAATATGGTAATTACATAAATATAAAATTATATTATACAAAAAAATTTATATTATACAAAGCTATAACCTGTAGAGAAAGGTTTTGCATGCAGGATACCTAGGATTTTAGTAGGATGTTAGTAGGCGCGTTTAGGAACCTGTAGGGATTTGTAGGACACCTCTCGTGACTTCTAACCTGTAGAATTTTTGGTTTCCCTCCGTTAATTTCTAACCTGTATTTTTAACCATCCCTTATAGGATATAAGGATTCCTCCCCATATTTCTAACATGTAGGATTTTTAGAATCCCTCTCTTAACTTCTAACCTGTAGGATTTCTAGAATCCCTTGTAGGACATTAGAATTCCTCTCTAAATTTCTAACTTTTAGAATTCCTAGGATCCCTTGTAGGATATACCGTAATGTTAGAAGCCCTCCTATATTTCTAAACGGTACTTCACTTGAATTTCTTGAATTTCTAAACTTCTTCTTCACTTGAAGAAGAAGCTATACGCAGTCACTGGCTAGGATTTCTAGGACATTAGAATCCCTCTCCCAATATTTCCAACCTGCAGGATTCCTAGGACCCACGCCCCCTACCTGAAGAAGAAGCTAGAAGCAGTCACAGGAGGCGCAGGACTGCCACAGACCAGCAGCCGTATTATCAAAACTTCGTAAGTACGCAAAATCGACTTATGAGTGGCGTTGCTATGACAACGTAATACTATCGGAGGTATTATCAAAACATTTGCGCGGGAAAAATTGGCGCGGGAAAAAAATTTAGGCTTTTAGCTACGACTTGCCTACGAAAGTTTTGATAATGCCAAAATTAGGGTGCATTTACGTACCACAGAACTTTTGTGTCGTAAGTACAAAAAGTTACGAAGCTTTGATAATCCGGCCCCAGGTCTCCGTCGAACACAAAGTTCCTGTCGCGGTACTCACCTGTAGGTTCATAGGACCCCTAGGATGCCTAGGACCTCCTTATTCCCCACATCCCCCACCTGAAGAAGAAGCTAGAAGCCGTCACAGGAGGCGCAGGACTGCCACAGACCAGGTCCCCGTCGAACACAAAGTTCCTGTCGCGGTACTTTGCTCCTGAGGGCTCCTAGGCCCCCTTTATTCTAGGACCCCTAGGATGCCTAGGACCCCCTTATTCCCAACATCCCCTACCTGAAGAAGAAGCTGGAAGCAGTCACAGGAGGCGCGGGTCTGCCACAGACCAGGTCTCCATCAAACACAAAGTTCCTGTCGCGGTCGTCACCTGTAGGTTCCTAGGACCCCCTCTTATTCTAGGACCCCTAGGATACCTAGGACCCACGCCCCCCCACCTGAAGAAGAAGCTGGACGCCGTCACAGGAGGCGCAGGACTGCCGCAGACCAGGTCTCCATCAAACACAAAGTTCCTGTCGCGGTACTTTGCTCCTGAGGGCTCCTAGGACTCCTCTCATTCTAGGACCCCTAGGATGCCTAGGACCCCCTTATTCTCCACATCCCCCACCTGAAGAAGAAGCTAGAAGCAGTCACAGGAGGCGCAGGACTGCCACAGACCAGGTCTCCATCAAACACAAAGTTCCTGTCGCGGTACTTTGCTCCTGAGGGCGAGAAGAGGAAGGTGCTGAGGTCCTCCTGGAACGCTTCGTACGACTGACCCTCAGGGTCGGGGACTGTGTACCCCTGGTCCTCGTAGTACCTGCCCACGTACCAGCGTGTTTACTGGGGGTTATAGGCAACATAAACCACGTACCAGCGTGTGCAGTGGAGGGTATACAGTAGGTCATAGGTTGATAATAGGTAAAGGTTATAGCAAAGGCGGCGCTTCAGCGTGACCGGGGACTAGGATGTCCCGAACTCATCATAAGGTCATAAGGGCAATATTGAAGATTATACTATATTAATGTTATTCAATATTAATGTTATACAATATTAATGTTATACAATATTAATGTTATTCAATATTGGAGATTATACACAACATAGTTACCCCCATGAATATTGGAAATTATATATGGAAACTAATGATATAAGTTTTGTATTGGAGGTTATACCTACACAACATAGACCACGTACCAGCGTGTGTGGTGGAGGTTAAACAGAACACAATAACCCCCATTATTATAGGAGGTTATATAAAACATTAACATGGAGAGATTAAATGGAAACTAATGCGATTAACAAAGAAATGAAAACTAATGAGATGAGAGTTGCGTTATAGTAATGAGTAATGTAGTCAATGTTGAAGGTTATAGACAACATAATTACCCCCTTTATTAGTGCAGCTTATACACAAAATAATTACCCCCTTTATTATTGGAGGTTATACACAACATAATTACCCCTTTATTATTGCAGGTTATACACAACATAATTACCCCCTTTATTATTGGAGGTTATACACAACATAATTACCCCTTTATTATTGCAGGTTATACACAACATAATTACCCCCTTTATTATTGGAGGTTATACACAACATAATTACCCCTTTATTATTGCAGGTTATACACAACATAATTACCCCCTTTATTATTGGAGGTTATACACAACATAATTACCCCTTTATTATTGCAGGTTATACACAACATAATTACCCCCTTTATTATTGGAGGTTATACACAACATAATTACCCCTTTATTATTGCAGGTTATACACAACATAATTACCCCCTTTATTATTGGAGGTTATACACAACATAATTACCCCTTTATTATTGCAGGTTATACACAACATAATTACCCCCTTTATTATTGGAGGTTATACACAACATAATTACCCCTTTATTATTGCAGGTTATACACAACATAATTACCCCCTTTATTATTGGAGGTTATACACAACATAATTACCCCTTTATTATTGCAGGTTATACACAACATAATTACCCCCTTTATTATTGGAGGTTATACACAACATAATTACCCCTTTATTATTGCAGGTTATACACNAACTTGTCTCTTCATTCTATTATCTTCAGGAACTTGTCTCTTCATTCTATTATCTTCAGGAACTTGTATCTTCATTCTATTATCTTCAGGAACTTGTCTCTTCAGTCTGTTATCTTCAGGAACTTTTTCACAGCTCTCCTTAACAAAAACACTCGCCAGAGAATCATAAATAGATGAAAATTCATCAATGCCCAAGCTGAAGACATCGGGGCCGTGAAAACTCAAATCCACAGGACCCTGACTTGGATCTCTATGAACAAAGAAGACATCATCGCTCTTCTTCATGGTACGGGGATTGAGGGGGAGGGATTGGGGATTGAGGGGGATTGAGGGAATTTGAGGGGGATAGATTGAATTATTGGCAGCACTTCTTTTCTTCCTGCCAAATAAAGTAGAGCTCATGATGGTCGGCAGCTTCGTGCAAACATCTTGCCACGTGACCAGCCTTACATTCGTGTCTACCTTCACAGAAGAATTTCTGACATCGCTGTTATTGAGTGCACTTACAGAATTTTGATTACCAGGCACCAAAGCCACCGTTGAGCTAACAGTTTCGTGCATGAATAGCAAATCAAGAAGAACTTCTGGAGTCAGAACATTGTCTGCCTCATACAGAGATGTATGGATTCTGTATTTGTTAGGAAAATTTGCCTGCTGCCACTCGGCAATCTTAATAAAGTCAGAGTCTTGAGGTATCCACAGCTTGAAAGGCCGTTCTTCCATTGTGAATGTCAGGAGTCCTATGCTACATATACCCGTCAATGCCAGACAGAACAATATAAATAAACATGGGTACGTTGCCACTGTCTTGCCATAGCAGAAAAAGCCGTTCTCTAGACCCGAGCTTATTGAGCGACTACACCTGCTCAAACTGCTCTCGTTTTTAGTGGTTGATTTAACAGATGTTGGGACATCTTTTCTGGTGAATAATGCCTCTGGTTGGTCAATATTTGTACAGGATGGCATCACTGTTGCAGTGTTGCCATTCTCCCGGCAATTGAGATCAGAATTTTGTGACTGAACTGAGCATATTTTAGGTGAGGTTTGCTGTACTGAGTACAGCAGTTCTGATGAGTCGTCTTCTTGCACAGATGGCATTGTTGCACGAGAGCTCGACCTCCACAGCCTGTGAAACAAAAAATTGTTAGAATTTGAAGACATTTTTTTTTAATCACACAGTACCAGTATACCGGTATATCAACAAGAATAACAAAATAACAATAAATGACAGAGAGAGTCAATTTTGCCAAGAAGAAAATCACTTTAGCACAAAATGACACATTTTATACTATTACGGTGGGTACATCAAATAATCTAAATAGAAAAATATTGTTGAATGAGACCTTGACCTCCAAAGAAAGCCTGTGAAACAAAAAATTGTAAGAATTTGAAGACATTTTTTTCAGCAACTATTACCTAAATGACAAAATAACAAAATAACAATAAATGACAGAGAGAGTCAATTTTTCCATGAAGAAAATCACTTTAGCACAAAATGACACATTTTATACTAGGTATTACGGTAGGTATATCAAATAATCTAAATAGAAAAATATTGTTGTAGTACGAGCCTTGACCTCCGCAGCCTGTGAAACAAAAACTTATTAGAATTTGAAGACATTTTTTTCAACAACTAGTAAATGACAGAGTTTTCGACAAAAAACAATAAATGGCAGAGAGAGACAATTTTGCCATGAAGAAAAGCACTTCAGCACAAAATGAGACATGATATACCTACCTATGATATCAAATAATGTAAATAAAAAAATAGGTAACTAGCGTACCTATAATCAAAATATACCTAAGAAATGATGAAGAAGGGCTTTCTCAATAATCAAATATTTAATTTGAACAGCTGCTTCTCCAAAGATGGCCAAATTTGGCAAAGGATCTGTTACTCATATTAAATACCGTAAAAAATAATAACATATACAAATACAAATGGAGCAATTTACATGTGCTCTAAAAATACCTATCTAGTATATAAGATTGCTTAAGTTGGCATGAATTACTACATTTTGCTTGCATTCATTGAAAAATAATAACATACAGCATACAAAAATGAATGAAGCCTTTAATTGTTGCCCTGAAAAGTATCTGCGTCAAATGAAGACATGTGGCAAAAGAGACTTGTTCATAAACCTTCCTCATTTTGTCCGATAAGTTTCCTCATGGATGCCAGCATTAACATACAAATGTTAATGAATGAATTTGTGAATTTGATCAGGAAATTAGAAATGAACTGGTTTGTGGAAAATATCAGTATATATGGTACATGGATGCCAGCATTAACATGAATGATAATTGATGAAATAACAAATAATAATTAATGAAATCTAGAATTTGATCAGGAAATTGGAAATGAACTGGTTTGTGAAAATCTCATGCACCGGTGTGCCGCTATGAATGAACAATGTATATCTCATGCTCAGCTATTAAGTTCTAAGAGATCTAAGAGCACACACACGAATAAAATACTCTAATAAGATACACTAATACAATACACTGATGAAATACACTAATGCAGTATGTACTCTAATAAAATACACTAATAATACAAAACACTAATGAAACAGGTACACTAATGCAATACCTACTCTAATAAAATACACTCGTACATAACTAATGAAATACCTACACTAATAAAATACATTTATAAAATACACTAACATGATACACTAATAAAATACACTAGCACAATACACTAATAAAATACACTAGCACGATACACTAATAAAATACACTAATAAAATACACTAGCACGATACACTAATAAAATACACTAATAAAATACACTAGCATGATACACTAATAAAATATCTTAATAAAATAAGTTTCCTCCCAAGGGCAGGTTGTGGCTATTGGGGCAGCGTTGCATCAACTGCAAGGCAGCAAGAGTTGGTTTAAGCTTAAAAATCCTGCTTTGCATGAAAAAATTTACAGAAATCTCTAAGAATTGAGAGCAAAAAGGATATTTAGATCAAATATTTTTTGAAATTATACCATAAAACAGGGTAATTAGGGATGCTTTTAAGCATTTTTTGTTGATACCGTCAACCGGGGCTACTCGGGACGGGTGGAGTAACTTGGGACAGTCCTCCGACACGGCGTAAAACTGTTTTAGTAGCAAAACTAATTGGAATATTGCAAAACTAAATATAGTGGCATAAATGTCAACATTTTTCCTATCTATGTAGTAACTTCTTATAATGAAACGTTTCATAAATGAGGTTAGGCTCATTTTTAATGGTCTTCGCAAGGGCTATCATATGGCATCTCCAAAAAAATTCCATTGTAAGATGCCAGACACAAAAAAGCGTTCTGCATTACCCCTGGAATGGGGGTAATATGGGACACTTGAAATGAAACATAATTTTAAAACTTTTGAAGCATGCAGACTGCAAACTGTCCTTGTCCATTACTAACAGTATTCCAAAGTTCTCTTCATTTGTAGATGTAGGTACCATCAAACGGGGCAAATCAGGACAGTCGTCCCACATTTTGTAGAAATTTAGCAGCTAAACTAATCAAAATATTTCAAAACTAAAAATGGTGGCATAAAGTTCAACATTTTTTACTAGTATCTACCTAGATATAGGATGGATGAGGTTTTCTATGATTTGTACCATCAAATGGGGTAAAAAGGGAAGGTTTTGAGCGTTTTTTCTTAATAACTTCTTACCATGAAACATTTCAGAAAAAAGTTTAGGCTCATTTTATAGCTCTTTGCGAGGGCTATCCAATGGCATCTTCAAAAAAATTCCATATGCTAATCGTAAGGTGCCAGACACAAAATAAAACCGTCCCGATTTACCCCTGGGAACGGGGTATGTAATCCGGGACACTTGCAATAAAAGTTAATTTTGAAGTGTTTGAAGCATGCAGAGTGTACTCATCCATTACTAACAGTACTCTGAAGTCCTCCTCTTCCATTGTAGATGTAAAATAAATGACATTTTCTGTGATTTTTACTTGTTTTTTCCTTTTTTGCTTTGATATTACCATATTCATTAATTACCGTATTATTAATGTGATATTACTGTATCCATGGACATGCCATTGAGCATTGACAACAACCTTGTCCACTGCAAGCTTCATATCAGCAGCCATGTAGCATTTCTTCAGTATCTGTAAGCTTACAGGATGGTTTGTGATTTCGTACAATTTTAATCAAGTCTAGTGATTTCACTATAACAAAAAAGATAGTGAAAAACATACCTGAAACAGAAAATAATGTTTTAGTGACAACCATCATATGATTTGAAGAAATAAATCATAGTTTAGGTCAATTACTTTTCATTCTATGATGCCTGGTGCACAATTCTATATAGGTATGACATTCTATGCACAATTTTGTGATGACCGATGATGCACAAATTTTTTGACAAGTGAAATTTTTTTGCTGAGGAAGGTAAATGTAATCAATATTCTTTGTTTTCAATCAATTTTTTCTTAACTGGAGCCTTTGCTTACTGAGGTTCTACTGTAAATGCGTTTTTGGGGGTGTCCCGAATAGCCCCGGGGGGTGTCCCAAGTAGCCCTACCGTGCGGAAATGGCTGCCATTTTTTATTGGATTGAGGTATGTAAATTCTGCAAATAAAGTTTTCAAGCCGACACCTGGGTGCAACTTTTATGTAAGTAAAATTTTTTAATATAGCAAATATTTTTTTTACTAAAGACCTTAGCAGAAGTAACTTTTCAAAATAGCGTTTTCACCAATTTTTTCAGGAATTTTTAAAAGCTAGTACCATAACTGTAGTATTTTTTGACTTCCTTTATACTACATAGATAGGAAAAACGTTGACATTTATGCCACTATATTTAGTTTTGCAATATTCCAATTAGTTTTGCTACTAAAACAGTTTTATGCCATGTCGGAGGACTGTCCCGAGTTACCCCGCCAGTCCCGAGTAGCCCCGGTTGACGGTATACAAAAATGATTGAAGCATTTTATTGTCGCCCTGAAAAGTATCTGCGTTAAATAAAGACATGGTGGCAAATGAGAGACTTGTTCATAAACCTTCCTCATTGTGTCCGATAAGTTTCCTCATGGATGCCAGCATTAACATACAAATGATAACGAATGAATTCTTGAATATGATCAGGAAATTGGAAATTAACTGGTTTGCGGAAAATCTCAGTACATAGATGCCAGCATTAACATGAATGATAATTGATGAAATAACAAATAATAATTAATGAAATCTAGAATTTGATCAGGAAATTGGAAATGAACTGGTTTGTGGAAAATATCAGTATATATGGTACATGGATGCCAGCATTAACATGAATGATAATTGATGAAATAACAAATTATAATTAATGAAATCTAGAATTTGATCAGGAAATTAGAAATGCCCTGGTTTGCCACTATGAATAAACAATGTGAATCCCATACTCAGCACTCAAGTTCTAAGAGCACACACTAATAAAATACACTAATGAAATTCACTAATAAAATATAATAGGTACGGTAATACAAAACACTACCTATTGAAATACACTAATGAAATCCCGGTACCCTAATAAAATACACTAACATTGATACACTAACAAAATAAGTTCTCTCTTGGGGCAGGTTGTGGCTATTGGGGCAGCTTTGTATATTAGTGTACCGTATATTGATAAATGCAAGGCAGCAAGAGTCATAAAGCCCAAAAATCATGCTTTGCATGAAAAAATTTACAGAAATCTCCAACAATTGAGATTGAAAAGGATGGTTAGATAGGATATTTTCCAAATCATACCATCAAACAGGGTAATAAGGGACGCTTTTCATTATTTTTATAGGGAACTTATTACTTTCATTCTTACAATGAAATGTTTCATATACATATGAGGTTGGGCTCTTTTTAAGCGTCTCTGCGAGGGCTATCATATCATACGGCATTGCCAATAAGTTCCATACTAATGCTATTTGCAAGGTGCCTGACAGGTAAAAGTGTCCAGCATTACCCCTGGGAATGGGGTAACACGGGACACTTGAAATGAAACTTAATTTTAAAACTTTTGAAGCATGCTGACCATTACTAAAAGTACCTACTCCAAAGTTCTCTTCATTTGTAGATGATGTAGATGTAGACTACTAAATGATGTTTTCTATGATTTGTACTTGTTTTTCCTTTATCGATGATATTACCATATACATTTTTCATCAACAAAAACTATTATTCCATTCTATACCTACCTAACACTATTAAAACCCTTCTAAAAAACGTCCATGGCCTTATCCACTATAAGTTTCATATTAGCAGACATATAGCATTTCCTCAGTAAGCTTGTAGGACTGGGGTTGCAATTTTCTACCATTTTAATTACGTCAAGTGATTTAATTCACTATAACAAAAACAGATCATAAAAAACATATCTGAACCAGCAAGGGATATTTTAATGACACCCATCATAATTTTGGAGAAGTAAATCATAGTTTAGGTTAATTACTTTCCAATATATGTTGCCTGGGGCACAATCTGTCTATGGCATTGGTTCTATACACAATTTTGCGCTGCTTGAATTTTTTGTTACAGATAAGTGAAATTTTTTTGCTGAGATAGGTAGGTGAATTTAATCAAAATTCTTCATCATTAACTAATTTTTTGTTAACCAGAGCCTTTCTTAACTAAGGTTTTACTGTAAATCAATTTTTAAGGGTGTCCCATATTACCCTGGGGGTGTCCCATATTACCCTGGAGGTGTCCCATATTACCCTGGGGGTGTCCCGTATTACCCTGGGGGTGTCCCATATTACCCTGGGGGTGTCCCAGGGGGTGTCCCATATTACCCTGGGGGTGTCTCATATTACCCTGGGGGTGTCCCATATTACCCTGGGGGTGTCCCATATTACCCTGGGGGTGTCCCGTATTACCCCGGGGGTGTCCCATATTACCCTGGGGGTGTCCCGTATTACCCCCGAGCTGTCCCTTAATACACCATCTGGCAGAAATGGCTGCAATTTTGTTTTGGTCTGAAGTACACAAATTCTGTCAATAAAGTTTCAAAGCCAATACCTGTCTGCAAGTTTTCTACTGGCAAGGTATATTTATATGGCATATATTATTTTTTAATACAGATCTTAATGGAAGTCCTTTTTTAAAATAGCACTTTTTAACATTTTTTCAGGAATTTTTTGAGCTAGTAAATCTAATTCTCAACTTCCTTCATGCTACATAGATGGGAAAAATGTTGAAGTTTATGCCACATTGCCACTATTTTTAGTTTTGCAATATTTAAATTATTTTCGCTGCCATAGCATTTTTAACCATGTCGGACTCGGAGGACTGTCACAATTTATCCTGTCCATCCCTAATTATGGTACGTCAGTACCTACCCCATTTGACGGTAGAGAAAATGTGTCATTTTTATTGATTTTTACAAATTAAGTTCACTTAATGCTATAGGAATGGACATAATTGATTGTGAGAATGGGCATTTTCACCTCAATCATGGCCATTCTCAGCAAGGGCCATAAATCACATGTGAATCAGACAAACACAACTTTGAACTACATATGCTTCAGAACACTCAGATGCTGGTGGTTAATTTCACTTATTTTCATGGCCCTTAACTAATTTCTTCCATAAAAATTTAAACATAACAAATTTTAGCCTGTGATTTTTGTTTAAATTGCCCCTAAATCAATTTAATTTTTACTTAAATTTCTAGAAAATTTCATCTCACATTCTACATTGGAATCAGATTCATGGGCAAGTATGGAAAACCTTTATCTTTTAAACCATGTTTCCCTTTATTTTCAAAACTGGAAGATTCTAACTAGATAAATTAAAACCAAACTAATTATTCAAGATTGGGTCAAAAAATTCCAAATATATAGACAGTTTATAACTTTTTACAGAAAAATTTCATTAACAAGTAGGAAAATTTTAATCCTGTTCAAGACAATTCAATTCAAGCCAAATCTTGAACATGGAGCAGAAGTTTACCAAAATTTATAGTAAAAACAATCATTTCACAGGTGATTTCCAAGAAGCAAAAATTACAGATAAAACTAAGCTGTTGCTGTTTATCTTATTTTCACTGAAGAAATCAGGAAAATTTGATAAGAACAGGTGAAATTGGCCAGATTCATGGGCATTCATGTCCAATAGACAGCCAGGAGAGGTGGCTTCTGCCCAATATTGATTTATATTCCACTTGACTTAGACATTTGCACATGATTTTTAACAATTAGATTTAGATAGGACATCTTTCATGTTTCATCCAGTGATAAACTTGTGGCTAAAAAAATAGGCAGATAAGCTAAGAAAATAAATATTTTCCAACCCTTACTTTTGGACAGTTTGAAGTCTACCTAGGTCATTTGGCTAAGTAAGTATTTGGCTTAATATTTCATACTGCATAACTCAGCCTCATGACTGGACATTGGACTGTTACATAACAAATGTTCAGTCAGATTCATAGCTAATCCGATGATATTGTTATAGAATATATAAGGTACAAATATTTGTCATGCAAATACAAAAACTAACTTTCAATTACCGGGTTACATAGG